GACTGCCTGCATAGTGGGTTACGCGGTGGGCTGCTAACTGTAAGGTCAGCAGTTCTAACCCACCAGTCGATCTGGGGAAGAAAGATGAGGCATTCTACTCCCATGAAGATTGGCAGCCCCAGAAACCATATATGGGGTCGTTATGAGTTAGAAACCACTCAGTGGCAGTGGGTTTGGTTATCTGGCTGAAAAATAATTTCTGGAAGCGACTTTAGTTCCAAGTTGCAAGAACATTTTAGGGTTCTAGTCTCTACCATCCCCTAGGCCCGCAGGACAGTAAGTCTGGTCTTTTAAAATTATTATTAGTATTAGTATTATTTTGCATTCCCCCTCCCCACTCTAACCTGGCCCTTCTGTTGTCTAACTGGCTGGCGTGGTAGGTGATTAGGACTGAGCGCAACCCAGTTCTGGTCTCAGGCGTGATGAGATTGTGGTTGGCTCAGGCCCTTAGTCCTGCGGACTAACGTATTCCTTGAGTCCTGGGTTTTCTTCACCTAACTTTGCTCCCAGCGGAAAGAGATCAATAATTATATTGTAGATAGTCAGTCTCCCTGCCATTGAGTCAATGCTGACTCATAGTGAGTCCCTGAGACTGTAAATGTTTACAGGAGTAGAACACCCAGTCTTTCTCCCAGGGAGCTGCTGGTGATTTTGAACTGCCGACCATGCAGCCCCACAAGTAACCAATATACCACCAGGCTCCTTGGATCTTAGATAGTCACTGGAAATAGTTTTAAGACCCCAGACGTTCCTCTCTACAGTAAGATAGAGGCCATTATCTCTGGGAACAGTTAGCCAACTGACTTAGCTGGATGCCCCTGAGACTTTAGTTTTTAGCCTTCAATCCCAGTGTTCAGACCCAAGAGGTGTTGGGTTATAGCTAAGAAGCTTCCATAACTGTCTCAGCTATGGTCTCTGTTATATACATGGATATATGCGGGGGCTTCTAAAAGTTCATGAAAAAGTGGAATAAAGAGAATGAACTTTCTCCCTGAACTTCTTGAAGCCCCCTTGTACATGTAGCACATATAAGTATGTATGCAGAACTTCCCACAGCCATACCTCCGTGTGCACGCAGGTGTGGCCCTCCCTGTATGGCCTCTTACACTGGTTTAGCACACATGTCTACTTATGTATCCCCTCGTAACTTATCGTTGCTGCCTTTATTATGTACCTCTCAGTGTACTCAGCTGCCTCTAAGGAGCATTCTGGCTGGGCACCTTCCAAGATAGATGTTTGTTCTTTGGGCAGCCCTTGGGACTGGGCTTCAGTGGTCTTCTCCAGCTCCGTCAGTTCTTCTGTCGTCTTTCGTATTCAGTGTCCAACTTTTCCTCGCGGCGTGCCCTTATAGCCATTCGTTCAGCAACTGTGTCATGAGGGTCTGCAGCCCACGAGGCAGAGTTGGACACTGGGAAATGTAGAAATGCATACTCCCCAAACCCAAACCCATTGCCCTGGATTGGGGTACATCCCGACTCGTGGCAGCCCTACAGGACAGAGTAGACCTGCTCTTGTAGAGTTTCCAAGGCAGCTATCTTTTCGGAAGCAGACTGCCACACCTTTCTTCCCCAGAATGGCCGATGGGTTCAAAAGGTCGGTCTGTGAGCCTTGGCGCACTTAAACATTGGGCCATAGTCAGTGCCCAGGAGGGGAGCTTAGAGCAAAGAGTGGGGTGGGCAGGTGAACTGCCATAAAGCACTATGTAGTTCGCAGAACAGTCCCCAAACCAAACCAAACTCACTGCCTCTGAGCGGGTTCTGTCTCTTGGCAACCCCATAGGACAGGGTAGAACTGTGGATTTCCAAGACCGTTACCTTTTCTAGAAATAGAAAGCCCCATCTTTCCCCTGCACAGTGGCTGGTGGTTTCGAACTGCTGACCTTGCGGTGAGCAACCCATAAACACTACGTACCCACAGCTCCCACAGAACGCTTGGTGCAGGTTATTTTGGTTTTCCCTTTAAGACAAGCTTGAGACGTTTGTAAAGCAGCTGTATCCCCCCATTCTACGGCCTAGGCAAAGGAGCCCTGCGGCACAGTGGGCTGTGCACCCAGCTGCTAACCACAAGGTCAGCTGTTCAAACCCACCAAACAGTCTCTCTGTGGGAGCAAGATGGGGCTGTCTCCTGGAGAGATGTACAGCCTTGGAAACCCACAGGGGCAGATCTACCCTTCCTATAGGGTCTGTGAGTCAGAATTGACTCAGTGGTAGTGAGTTTGGAGTTTGACGGGCTGGGATACTGACACAGAGGTGTCTGTTGGCCTGTCTTTGGTCACACAGTTAGTAAGAGCTGTCCCGGGAAAGTCTGGGCCCTTACTCCCTCGGTCACACTTCGCTGCATCTTTTTTCTAAATCAATCTGGGCTAAATGGGCTAGGGCACTAGTGTTACCACACAATTTAGGACCCCTTAGTGACCCAAAACAGAAGGAACCATTGCTTGGCCCCCTACCAGCTTCATGATCGTTGGCATATGAAAGCGTTCTCTCTGCCAGTGAGTTGACAGCGGCCCACTAGGCCAGGGTACAACTGCCTGCCCCTGTGGGTTTCTGAGGTTGTGAACTCTTTAGGGGAGTAGAAAGCCTTGTCGTTCTCCGTGGAGCGGCTGGTGTTACAGATGCACCAATGCTCCGTGTTTTGTTTTGTATGTGGCTCCCCGTCACCCACCCCTAGATCTACTCTAAGACGAGTAACTTAAACACGCTCTAAACCAGGTAGCTCCTATACCTCAGCTTAAATGGAGCCTGAACTTGATTCTGTGGCCCAGAGGTCAGAGGGCCAACCCGGATAAACCTGGGGAGAGAGGGTGGTTGGGTTGGGTTGTAAGGGAAGGTTCGGACAAGCCCTTGGCGGCCCCTTCATGTGTTCTCAGAAGTTGTGCAGCTTCTATCAGCTCAGCTTCTACTGTCCTAAGGTTGGGCAGGATGGGGCCAGCTGCACACTGCCGAGTGTTCTCAGTGCTGGAGCTGCCTCTGATCCCTAATCAGGGACTGCCCTCCACCCCCCACCCCCACCCCCACACACACCTTTTTACTGTGAATTGTGAAGGTTTACAGAGCAGATCATGATCCTAGTTTTACATTCAGTTATTCTGATTCCACTCATCCATGGTAATCCTTCAGTGTATCATCCCTTATCCCACTTCCTCCCGATGTTTCCTGTTTCCATCCCACCTCTTTTCCCAGCCCTCTGAACTTTGTCCCTCAGGACAGACTGCCCTTTGTGCCATAACGCTCGATTCCTCTCACATGAGGGTGAGTTCAGTCATAGAGCTGAAGGGTAAGGACCAGAGTCTCGGAGTCTCTCCAGTCCTATCTGACCAGTAAGTGTGGTATTTTTTTTTTTTTTTGTGGTTGCCAGTTTTGTTCCACAATCTTCTCCCACCCTCTGTAGGGCCTTTGTTTGGAGACTGGTGTGTGTGTGGTCTACTAGCTCATTGGCCTAATTGTTTCCATGCGGCTTCTTATCTTCATCCCTCTTCTTTCTTCTGGACTAGGAGAGACCAGTATTGCCCCTCAGGTGGCCGACTGCCCTGTCCCTGCTCGCCAAGTCAACATGTTGAGCATGGTCTTCGTGAATTTATGTTATGTCCATTGGCCTTGGTGTCCCCTGGAGTTGATGATCCTGATCCAGTAGGCCAGCGACTCATTCCCACAAGGTGTTTGGTTATGTCTGAGAAGTTCTCAGAACTCTGTCCCCTGTGCACTCCACCACATTCATGCATATATTTGCAGTAAAAGCAAATATTCACTACTGATATCTTCTGGCACGATCAGAGACTTTTCTCTTTGTTTAAAACAAAAAAATAGCCCAAGGCCAGAGATCCAGTTAAGAGTGGGCAGTTTATTTTTAAAGTTGTATTTGAAATAGTCTCTCGGTTGACAGGCAAGTTTTGCTTTGAGGCCAAGGGGGCTGTGCTTGTTGCTGCTGAACCCCAGTGGCCAGGCAAGCTCTTTGCAAACCCCTCTCTGCTTCTCAGCCTGTTAGAAAGCTTTTGACTACAAGTAACAAAAATCCCAACCCAAACTGGCTGAAAAGAATGAGGCTTTATTGAAACACTGAACTCAAAGGACCAGGAGCGGGAAGGGTTTCAGGCATTTTT